TAGGCGGTAGGTGAAGTGTCTTGCCCAAGGACACAACGACCGAGACTGTCCGAGCCGGGGCTCAAACCGGCAACCTTCCGATTACAAGACGAACACCCAACTCTTGAGCCACGATCGCCCCATGAGTTTCCTTTTCGTTTTTTTTTTTTTTCGTTTTTTTTATTTTTGGCCAGTTAATTCTTAAATGTGCTGTGTGCCTTTTGATTGCTGGTGTGTAAAATTGAGTTTGTCCTGTGAATCATGGCCGCGAGTTGGAGTTAAGTGAAAGTTTGAGGTGACTCAGTTTGATTCCAGCGCTGCACGGGGAACATCTGCTGTGTGTGGAGTAAAACTGGGACAAAGTTCACGATGTGTGTAGAAGTAACTCGCCTGAGCTAACATGCACACACACTTATAGTCGCTGTGGGTTGCCAACGCAAATTAAGGTTGGGGAACTTCTCCATCGGCAGCTTGTGGCCAAACATTACAATCAGCTGCTATCAGTGTGCAGAGTTAAATCTTCCAAGAAAAGGTTAAGGCGTTTAGCTGTAAAAACATTAACAAAAGTCTCACTGATTTGGCTTGTAAACCTAGGTTTTTTTGTTTTGTTTTGTTTTTTAACATGGACTCACTATTTTACATAAAAAAACACTGTGCTTTCATTTGTTCAATTATAAAATTGGCAGTTAGAAGTTAAAACAGAGAAATAAAAATAATCGTATAAAAATCCTCTTTCGTGCTTCTAATTTGACTGACAGTCACAGGTAAGGTATAAACTTCAAGCTTGAATTGCAGTTTATCAGTAATCTTATTATAGACTACTTGTGTAGTTGCTATTAATGCTTCGTGGCGACTTATTCTGGACTTCCTCATTAACCACAGTGTTTCTTAACCCATCTCAGCCATAAGACAAATATGCAGTATTTAACTTCACCCTCCCTCTCATGCTGTATGCATGAACAAAGGTCAAATCTGTAACATAATGCAGAGTTAGTGCATGCTTGGAAAAGTTTAGGGTGATTTCATGTCCAGAGATTTGTAAACACGTTTATGTTGATGGTCTGACGGGACTGAACCAAACTTCTGCAGGTGTGCATTTAAGATTTAATTTTCTTTACACCCAGACTGCTAAATTGATATATATGGTTGTAGTGTGTGAGAGAGTGAGTACACCAGATAAGACTTGTTGCCTACACACTGTAATCTAGGTTTGTGTCCGCAATATGGTTGTATGAAAAACTGGTTGGATTGCTCTTCACTGTGATGGTCGTTGAAGAAGTCTGTTGCAGTCTTGGAAAAGGGCTAATGCAGTAGATTGGGTTACTTCATAATTTTGCCTCTTTTAGTACAGTTGTATAATTTGTTGTAATTGATAAAGGACTCAATTTAGAATATAGTTTGTTAGCCCTCTTAACTGATTCACACATTGTCTTCAGTCTACGTTATTTGTGAAGGATGGGTACTGGTTACTAGAGATGGACCGATCCGATATTGCGTATCGGTATCGGTCCTATACTGACGTAAATGACTGGATCGGATATCGGAGAGAAATTTAAAAAATGTAATCCGATCCATTAAATATCAAAAAAGCACCTCACAAAACTTGCGACATGGCGTAACTCAGTTCATAACTGTAGCACGTAGGAGCATTGTGCTCCTACGTGCTAGGAGCACGTAGGAGCACGTGTATTTAGCGAGCCTCCAAATACACACAGCCGTGATAGAGCGGCTGTGTGTATTTGGAGGCTCGCTACCAAAACAGCATTTCATCTCCGAGGAAGTTATCCCCGAGAGAAGTAAAGCAAGTGTGTAAGTTCATCTCTGAATGTTTGTAAAGCATTCCCGCATTAAGCTTAACAACCGATATATGGAGCGACTGCCTCTCTCTCCCTCCCTCTCCTGCTGCTACTTCAATCACGAAACTGATTAATGATCAGCTGATCGGCTTTTCTGTCGCGAGTCCGTCTGTCTTTGTTTTTGGCCCACTTTGCACCAGAAAGAGGAAACCAGCGGCTGAATAACAGCAGCACGTTTAAGCTTGATAATCTGTTGTTAGAATTTATTTAATATAACTTTCTACACCAGGATCTTTTTCTATGTAGCTGACGGCTGGTAACTGTGCAGGGGCGGATCTAGCAAAGTTTGTGTCTAGCTTTTAATAAATAATTATCTGAATCTTAAACCAACGTTTTAATCTGATGTAAAATGTATAGAAGTCCATTACTGTATATAGTAACTGTTAAGTCTAATATACCCTAGTAAGCTAGTACTTTTTCCTTTGGGAAGACACCACCTGTGCAGTCTGCAAAGATGTTGAATCTATTTAATTATTCTCGAAAAA